CCCGACAGAATGCTCTCAATGGTGCATCTATAGAAGTTCGTGAGGGTCTTGGGGGTCCATGAAGAATTCCATCAGCAGCCTGAGGTTGTAAAGGCGCAGGTGCGCTATCTTCACCACAGTGTCGGTTGGTGGGACCATTTCAGGTCCTCTGTGACTTGCACGCCCCTCCACTGCAGCCCTGTCTCCTGTAGTCCACAATGAGCTCCTTTTTTTTATGTTGAGGAAAGAGGGTACACTACATGGCCAAAAGTATGTGGACACCTGCTCGTCGTACATCTCATTCCAAAATCATGGAGTTGGTCCCCCCTTTGCTGCTATAACAGCCTTGACTCTCCTGGGAAGGCTTTCCACTAGATGTTGCAACATAGCTGCGGCGACTTGCTTCTGTTCAGCCACAATAGCATTAGTGAGGTCGGGCACTGATGTTGGGTGATTAGGCCTGGCTCGCAGTCGGCGTTCCAATTCATCCCAAAGGTGTTCGATGGGGTTGAGGTCCGGGCTCTGTGCAGGCCAGTCAAGTTCCACACCGATCTTAACAAACCATTTCTGTATGGACCTTGCTTTGTGCACTAGGGCATTGTCATGCTGAAACAGGAAATCGCCTTCCCCAAACTGTTGCCACAAAGTTAGAAGCACAGAATTATCTAGAATGTCGTTGTGTGCTGTAGCGTTAAGATTTCCCTTCACAGGATCTAAAGGGCCTAGCCCGAACCATGAAAAACAGCCCCAGACCATTATTCCTCCTCCAATAAACTTTACAGTTGGCACTATGCATTGGGGCAGGTAGCGTTCTCCTGGCATCCGCCAAACCCAGATTAGTTCGTCGGACTGCCAGATGGTGAAGAGTTTTTCATCACTCCAGACAACGCGTTTCCACTGCTCCAGAGTCCAATGGCGGCGAGCTTTACACCACTCAAGTGGTTGCTTACAGTGGTAGTGAGTGTTGCAACCAAGCACAGACGATTTTTACGTTGTACACGCTTCAGCACTCGGCGGTCCCATTCTGTGAGCTTGTGTGGCCTACCACTTCGCGGCTGAGAAGTTGTTGCTCCTAGATGTTTCCACTTCACAACAACAGCACTTACAGTTGATTAGGGCAGCTCTAACACGGCAGAAAATTGACAAACTGACTTGTTGGGAAGGTGGCATCCTATGACGGTGCCACGCTGAAAGTCCTTGAGCTCTTCAGTAAGGCCATTCTACTGCCAATATTTGTCTATGGAGATTGGCATGGCTTGTGTGCCCGATTTTATACACCTGTCAGCAACGGGTGTGGCTGAAATAGCCACACCCGTTGAAGGGGTGTCCACATACTTTTGTATATATATAGTGTACTTGAATAGGAATCTGTTTTAAATTCTACTGTCAATCCTCCATAAGAAACATATTCATAGAAATATAGATAATAGAATAGACATTACCATTTTAAATTGACCTTTGACGGTGGGTGGACTGGCGGCCATCTTTGTGGTAGTAATTAAAAGGTAACATTTATTCAGCTTCAATTGTGTACCAGCCAAATTGCGGTGATCTGTATTCATGAGCATGGTGTCTCAACCAATGACTGTATATACAGTATGAATGGACAAATCCATCGATCACGTGACACCATTCATTCCTATGTTTAGACTCAATAGCGCATTGAAGCCATCTAAAGTCGGTTAAGATGGCGTCTCATGGAGACATTAAATACGCAGATTGAGCTACTTCACAAATTGACGTTTCAGGTTAGCTCAGTGCTGCCTCCTCTCATTGAGTAACTCAAGTTGAAGGCCCACCGTGGTACTGCAACTAAATTATCCTTAACTTCTGTGTGCGATTCTTTATTTTTATTTTGTGTTTGTTTTTAATAATCGGTTCAAGGACATATATCTGGTGTATTAGAGGCAATTATTGGCACCATGATTGTCTTCAAAATTGTTTTTGTTCACATCAAGATTGACCACGAAGATTGCCATTTTTCCATTCTATAATGGGGATCCTGTTTTCTGCTAACAATGCCTGCAGTACCGCAGTCGGCCTTGAACTTCTGTGGCTTCAATGAGAGGGGGCAGTCGTCCTCCCCTGGTCTCAACCGATAGAGGGCACAACACAACCTCAGAGTATGTAAAGTAGGGTCTAAGCTACAACTTATGCGAGTATGAAAACAAATATTAATTTGATGCGTTTTTAGGCTATAGGAATGGCATTCGGTAATGGCTTTGTAACCTCTTGTGGTGAGCTTTCTTATAGGCTAGTACTGAACAGTGGGAGTGGCTATTTGCAAATTTGTAGATTGATTCATAAGTGCAGCAAGTGTCCTCGTTAACGCCGTCTACCCCATCGAATGACCCACTTGCGTTCAGTTCATTCCTCAGTTTGACTCATTCACACACTCGGCGTATGAGACAGTTAGTGTCCCTGTTCAAATGCTACGTTCTACGTTGACACATTTCAGCCCCAGTTTCAGGGAGGCAATCTTTACTTACACTAACAAGTTTGGTTGGTGCCGCCCAAAAGACTTGCTAATTAAACTCACAACCACCAACAAACCCTTGAACCCCTATAATTTCTGTCACAGTGGCTATAAATGTGGTTAAATAAATACTGCTGTGTGCTTCCTGACATGTTAGTCTCAGTCAGGGATGTAATTCGTCAGGAATTCTTGCTTTCCAGACATTAACCTCCATCCATGCGTAATAGAAACTGACCTATCTCCTAGCCAAAATCTTGATTTTCCTGATTTCCTATGTTGTTGTGTGCTGATGACTGTCGTGTGAATGACTTTGTCAAACACTTTGAAAATAACCGCTTTAAAAAGGTTGACGACATCCGCTCCTCATTCACTCCGCCTATTCAGTCCACTGGTCCCACTCACGCTTTGACGTCTTCCTCCCCTCTCTCTCCAGATGAAATTCTGCGACTAGTGAGGTCTGGCCGCCCGACAACCTACCCACTTCCCTGACCACTGGCTGCATCCCCTCTGACTTCAAAAAGACCAGAGTCACTTCCCTCCTCAAGAAACCAACACACACCTCTCTGATGTCAAACTTCAGACCGGTATCACATTTTTTTTTTTTTACGCTTGAACGTGCAGTCTTTCTCAGAACGATATTGACCCTAACCAGTCAGGCTTCAAGGCGGGTCACTCAACTGAGACTGCTCTGCTCTCTGTGTCACGGAGGCTCTCCGCACTGCCAAAGCTGACTCTCTCTCCTCTGTTTGTCACCTTCCTAGATCTATCAGCTGCCTTAGACACCATGAACCATCAGATCCTCCTCTCCACCCTCTCAGGGCGGGGCGTTTCAGGCTCTGCACACTCTTGGATTGCATCCTACCTGGCAGGCCGCTCCTACCAGGTGACGTGGATAGGATTGGTATCCCCCTCCCCCCTTCTGACACCCAGGTGGCACACCCAGGTGCCTGGCAGATATCTCTGCTTGGATGTCGGCCCACCACCTCAAGCTCAACCTCGACAAGACTGAGCTGCTCTTCCTCCCGGGGAAGGCCTGCCCGCTCCAAGACCTCTCCATCACGGTTGACAACTCCACGGTATCCACCTTCCAGAGTGCGAAGAACTTGCCGTGACCCTAGACACAACATTCTTTAGTTCTCTGAAAACATCAAAGCACTGACTCGCTCCTGCAGGTTCATGCTCTACAACATCTGACTTTGCAGATAGCTACTTTATTGAGGAAGAATGTACTTACTATGGCTGAGATAATTTTGTGTATATATATTGTATGTGGGCACCCCTTCAAATTAGTGGATTCGGTTATTTCAGCCACACCCGTTGCTCGCAGGTGTATCAAATCGAGCACACAGCCATGCAATCTCCATAGGAAAAACATTGGCAGTAGAATGGCCTTAGTGAAGAGCTCAGGTGACTTTCAACGTGGCATCATCATAGGATGACACCTTTCCAACAAGTCAGTTCGTCAAAGTTCTGCCCAGCTAGAGCTCCCTGGTAAAATGTAAGTGCTGTTATTGTGAAGTGGAAATGTCTAGGAGCAACAACGGCACAGCCGCGAAGTTGTAGGCCACACAAGCTCACAGAACGGGACCGCCGAGTGCTGAAGAACGTAGCGCGTAGAAATCGTCTGTCCTCGGTTGCAACACTCACTACCACTGTAAGCAACCACTTGAGTGGTGGAAAGCTCGCCGCCATTGGACTCTGGAGCAGTGGAAACGCATTGTCTGGAGTGATGAAAAACTCTTCACCATCTGGCAGTCCGACGAACTAATCTGGGTTTGGCGGATGCCAGGAGAACGCTACCTGCCCCAATGCATAGTGCCAACTGTAAAGTTTATTGGAGGAGGAATAATGGTCTGGGGCTGTTTTTCATGGTTCGGGCTAGGCCCTTTAGATCCTGTGAAGGGAAATCTTAATGCTACAGCATACAATGACATTCTAGATGATTCTGTGCTTCCAACTTGATGGCAACAGTTTGCGGAAGGCCCTTTCCTGTATCAGCATGACAATGCCCCTGTGTACAAATCGATGTCCATACAGAAATGGTTTGTCTAGATCGGTGCGGAAGAACTTGACCGGCCTGCACAGAGCCCTGACCTCAACCCGATCGCACACCTTTGGGGATTCATTGGAACGCCGACTGCGAGCCAGGCCTAATCGCCCAACATCAGTGCCCAACCTCAGCTGCTCTTGTGGCTGAATGGAAGCAAGTCCCCACAGCAATGTTCCAACATCTAGTGGAAAGCCTTCCCAGAAGAGCGAAGGCTGCTATAGCAGCAAAGGGGGAACCAACTCCATACTAATGCCCATGATTTTGGAATGATATGTACAACAAGCAGGTGTCCACATACTTTTCGTTATGTGTATGTTAAAAGGAATGCACTAACTAAGTTGCTCTAGATATGAGCGTCTGCTAAATTACTAAATGTTGTAATTATTGCAGCCAGCAAGAAGCTGACGAACTCCAGAACAGATTGTTCCTACCTTTATTGAAAACGGGGTGTGATGGTTGAGGTTCTTTCTTTTCTCTCTCTTCTCTCTGTCAGAAATGGTGGAGTCCATGAAGAACGTGGCAGGCATGGATGTGGAGCTGACGGTGGAAGAGCGGAACCTGCTGTCGGTGGCTTATAAAAACGTGATCGGAGCCAGAAGAGCATCCTGGAGGATAATCAGCAGCCTCGAACAGAAGGAGGAGAACAAAGGAGGCGAAGACAAACTTAAGATGATCCGGGAATACAGGCAAACGGTGAGCCACGGGGACGGCGGTAGGAGAAGAGTAGAATCCCTGATGAAGGCAGCTTGCTGTCAAAATGTTAGTTACATAATAAATGTAGACTTTTTGCATCGGAGGGATGGTGTGTGGCTCCTTTCAAAGTAGAGGTTTAGACTCTGGTGCCCTTTTTTAATATTTTGAAGAGGTAATTCAATGGTCATGTTATGTAAAAATGAGACCTCAAAGTTGAGTGAGATGTTTTTCCCTTTTCTCCTTGAGTTTGTTGACAACTAGTGTTGTGTGTGTTGTCTGCTCTGCAGGTGGAGAATGAGCTAAAATCTATCTGTAACGACATTCTGGATGTACTGGACAAGCACCTCATTCCAGCTGCAAACACAGGAGAATCAAAGGTTTTCTACTACAAAATGTACGTCTGCGGATGGGAGATAACTTCTAACTATTTTGCACACATCAATGAATATCTACGCCCTGACTGCACTAGTAACATGAGAAAAGGCTGCCATGTCTTCTCAGTGCAGCATTGTGGCCGTCGCTCATAAATCTCTCTCACACACACACACACACACACACACACACGGAGCGGAAAACCTCTTATCTGAGCTGTGAAAGAACAGCTACTCTGCATCTCAGTTTTCCACACTTTTCCATGAAGTGTGCGCAACCTAGAGCTTGGCCAATAAACCGAAAATGATTGACACCGACCATACCAATCACTGATTGCAGACATTTTGCTGATATCATTCATGTAGCTAGACTCTTACATGGGTGAATGCTTCACGGCAGACTGGAACCATTTAACTCAGTTTTGTTTGTAGCTACATCTTGTTTGGCCAGCTTTGTCAAGTCATTCCGGTTCACACTGACCATGGCGTGTGCAGAAAGTAGCCAATCACTTTTTCCTACTGATCTGTCGATAGCGCCTACTAAATTCAGGGCATCAATGTTGTTGAGAAAAGTAGCAAAACTTTTGTAGTTCTCGATGGCTAACGTTTATATCTTTCAAAAACGGCATGGTAGAAAGGACTGTCAACACATACTTGAACAGCTCACGTTATAGACAGAAGCGGGCAGACCAATCCAAACTCATCTCCCGACATGTCCAGTCAATACATTCTCAGCCAATCATGGCTAGTGGGAAGGTTCCTGGCTTTTTCCATGGCTAAACCAACTAGGCTCGTAATTTAACCATTTTATTCATATTTATGGATGGAATACAAGTTTGTTATTAAAGCACATGAAAGTTCACATGTTCCAGAAGGCATTTCTGCCAAAAAACGTGTTTTTGATAAATAAATAAATATTTACGTTCAAATGCTGCTCCTGTGAAGTAGTGACGTGCGACATACACCTAGTTTCCTGAAACGAGTCACATATTGAGTTTGTGTGCCCCTCCCCTATATTTATTTTACTCAAACCGCCGCGGGCTGGATTGTACCCCCTCACGAGCTGGATCTGGCCCACGGGCCATATGTTTGACACCCCTGGTTCAAAGAATCATAACGAAAAAAACTATTGTGCACATGGTTATAGACTTATCGTTCTATTTATAGTTATCGCATCAATTCAGGAAATGTATCGCGATATGGATTTTTGTCCATATCGTCCCAGCTCTAGCACTACCCCACAAGGATTTAAAAGCACATGATTGGTGTAAGCAAGGGCTCTAACAAGTAGGGGAGTTCAGTGCAGAAGTGCATACTGCAGGAAAAGAGTCCTATGTTAACATAAGGAGACCATGGATTTATTGTTTTGTGGGGTTGAAATAACCGTGGTCTCGTTCTGTCCTCAGGAAGGGAGACTACCACAGGTACCTGGCGGAGTTCGCCACAGGCAACGACAGGAAGGAGGCGGCGGAGAACAGTTTGGTAGCCTACAAAGCCGCGAGCGACATCGCCATGATCGAGCTCCCTCCGACTCACCCCATCCGCCTGGGACTGGCACTCAACTTCTCCGTATTTTATTATGAAATTCTCAATTCCCCCGACCGTGCATGCAGGTGGGCCCCTTCTCTCCTGTCTCGTCTTCTCTTCCCACTCTTCTCTCATCTTCTCTCTTCTCCCCGCTCATTTCACGCGCCTGTCTCACCCATTTCCCTCCTCTACACTCAATTGCCAGATGTGTCAAGTAGAAAGGGATTGTGAGGGTGTAATAATACACAAGCAGGAGACTTGATTTATATGCAATGCCTTACTCAGCGTTTTCCTGCAGTACCAGGCGTTAAACAGTCTTTCAGTATTATCGTCAAAGAAACAGAACAAGTTCCGATTTGATTATTATTTGGGGCTCATATCTAGTGCTGCATCATGCCATGGTGAAATTTTCAGACTGGCCGTGCAGTACAGTCTCACCAATACAGTATATTGAAGAAGTCAACTGATGCCCTGCCTAATAATACAATATTGTTTTTTTTACCAATACATTTGATTGTATATTCCATACCAGGACATTGTTGATGTGTGACTTGGATGCTCCGTGAAATCCAACCTTTGACCCCCCTGCTCTGCCCACCCTGCTGCCCTTAGGTTGGCGAAGGCGGCATTTGACGATGCCATTGCAGAACTGGACACGCTGAGCGAGGAGAGCTACAAGGACTCCACGCTCATCATGCAGTTGCTACGCGACAACCTTACACTATGGACTTCAGACATGCAGGGAGACGGTGAGCATTCAGTGCTTCTTCACCTATTATATGTAGTTCAATAGTTGAAAGACTAAACACACTCCAGCGTCTCTTTTTAAGTGTTGTTCAAAAGTATGCTGCTACATCAGCTTGACAGCAAACACGGTCACGTAGAGGATGGGTGTTTTCCAGCTATTGACTTTACAGACTGCTGGACTGGTGCGGTGTACACTTGACCTCACCCACCCTTTCTCTAACTTCCCTCAGCACAGTGGTCCCTCTCTAACCGAAGCACCTCTCCGTCTCTCTTTCTCCCTCTCATTCTCTTTGTCTTTCACCTTTCTCTTTGTTTCTCTCCCTTTCTTTACTTTTTTTGTCCCGCTCCGTCTGTTGAGCTGTACTCCCTTTCACTGCTCTAATATCTCTCTCCTGTCTCTGTTTTCCTCTGTGTAGATTCTTAAGGACAATCCCCCTCATTCCCTCTATAGAACTGTATTTTGTAAGTCATCTCTTTCTCCTTTCTTGGGAATCCCTCTTGCTCCCTCACTCAGACTTGCTAACCCTCACTAACCGTTTGTCACTGCATCGTCCAGCGCCAGGTTGGGTTCATTAGGGCACACCGTGGCAAAATGTTGTGCAATGGGAAACAAGTGTTTCTTGTTGAGTAGTGCTGAACATTGAGTGCATTTTTAGGTCTGTTCGGCTTTGGTTCAATAATGAAAAAATAATCACGGCTTTCGGTTATTTAAACAAAACAAAATTACATTACATGCACTATGCATTATGCGTGTTAAATGCTATAACAACACAGAATAAAACTACTAATAACAACCCCATGATGGTAGGGACTGCCCATTACTGCTCATCACTTATTAACCCCGTAAAACAATCCCCATCAAAATCGGTCTGTTTTTTTGTATGGCTGTTGGCCTTCCGCATCTGCGGTTGAAGTTAGCAGCGCTACAGCGGTTTTTGTCAGACCAGGAGACATCCCGAAAATCTTGTCTTTTCACAAATGTTTGTAGCGTCCGAACGGTTTGGCATAGAAAAACTATGACCCCTCTATGGAAAGATGAGATTCTTACAAACACGATGTTGTTCTCCGTTCGACCCCAACAAGCGTCACAGGACTCGTCTGAAGTCGTTACCACCGATCTGCCCACTTCTGTCTGTGGAGTCCGAACAGTTTCGGCTACACACTAATATGACCCCTCTATGGAAAGTTGAGACTCTCACAAACACATACAGTGCCTTCAGAAAGTATTTGCAACCCTTTAGTTTTCCACATTTTATTGTTACAGCCAGAATATAAAAGGTATTACATTGAGATTGTGTCACAGATCTACACACAATACCCCATAATGTCAAAGTGAAATTTTGTTTTGTATAACATTTTTTGAAATTAATACAAAATGAAAAGCTGAAATGTCTTGAGTCAATAAGTATTCAACCTTTTTGTTATGGCAAGCCTAAATAAGTGCCGGAGTAAGAAATGTGCTCAACAAATCGCATAATAAGTTGCATGGACTCATTCCGTGTTCAATACTAGTTAACATGATTTTTGAATAACTACCCCATCTCTGTACCCCACACATACAATTATCTGTAAGGTCTCTCAATCGAGTTGTGAATTTCAAGCACAGATTCAACCACAAAGACCAAGGAGGTTTTTCAATGCCACTCGAAGGGCACTGATCGATGGGTAAAATAAAAAGCAGTAGCTGCATGTCCCTTTGAGCATGGTGAAGTTATTAATTAGGCTTTGCATGGTGTATCAATACACCCAGTCGCTACAAAGATAGAGGCGTCCTTCCTAAGTCAGTTGCCAGAGAAGAAGGAAACTGCTCAGGGATTTCATCATGAGGCCAATGGAGTTTAATGGTTGTGATATGAGAACTGAGGATGGATCAACATTGTAGTTACTAACCTAAATGACAGAGTGAAAAGATTGAAGCCTGTAGAGAATAAAAATATTCCAAAACAAGAATCCTGTTTGCAACAAGGCAACTAATACTGCAAAAAAAAAGAAATGTTTGTCCAGATTACAAAGTGTTATGTTTGGGGAAAACACAACACATCACTGAGTACCACACTTTATACACTGCTCAAAAAAATTAACAACACATCCTAGATCTGAATGAATGAAATAATCTTATTAAGTACTTTTTTCTTTACATAGTTGAATGTGCTGACAACAAAATCACACACAAATTATCAATGGAAATAAAATGTATCAACCTATGGAGGTCTGGATTTGGAGTCACCCTCAACATTAAAGTGGAAAACCACACTACAGGCTGATCCAACTTTGATGTAATGTCCTTAAAACAAGTCAAAATGAGGCTCAGTAGTGTGTGTGGCCTCCACGTGCCTGTATGACCTCCCTACGACGCCTGGGCATGCTCCTGATGAGGTGGCGGATGGCCTCCTGAGGGATCTCCTCCCAGACCTGGACTAAAGCATCCGCCAACTCCTGGACAGTCTGTGGTGCAACGTGGCGTTGGTGGATGGAGCGAGACATGATGTCCCAGATGTGCTCAATTGGATTCAGGTCTGGGGAACGGGCGGGCCAGTCCATAGCATCAATACCTTCCTCTTGCAGGAACTGCTGACACACTCTAGCCACATGAGGTCTAGCATTGTCTTGCATTAGGAGGAACCCAGGGCCAACCGCACCAGCATATGGTCTCACAAGGGGTCTGAGGATCTCATCTCGGTACCTAATGGCAGTCAGGCTACCTCTGGCGAGCACATGGAGGGCTGTGCGGCCCCCCAAAGAAATGCCACCCCACACCATGACTGACCCACCGCCAAACCGGTCATGCTGGAGGATGTTGCAGGCAGCAGAACGTTCTCCACGGCGTCTCCAGACTCTGTCACGTCTGTCACATGTGCTCAGTGTGAACCTGCTTTCATCTGTGAAGAGCACAGGGCGCCAGTGGCGAATTTGCCAATCTTGGTGTTCTCTGGCAAATGCCAAGCGTCCTGCACGGTGTTGGGCTGTAAGCACAACCCCCACCTGTGGACGTCGGGCCCTCATACCACCCTCATGGAGTCTGTTTCTGACCGTTTGAGCAGACACATGCACATTTGTGGCCTGCTGGAGGTCATTTTGCAGGGCTCTGGCAGTGCTCCTCCTGCTCCTCCTTGCACAAAGGTGGAGGTAGCGGTCCTGCTGCTGGGTTGTTGCCCTCCTACGGCCTCCTCCACGTCTCCTGATGTACTGGCTTGTCTCCTGGTAGTGCCTCCATGCTCTGGACACTACGTTGACAGACACAGCAAACCTTCTTGCCACAGCTCGCATTGATGTGCCATCCTGGATGAGCTGCACTACCTGAGCCACTTGTGTGGGTTGTAGACTCCATCTCATGCTACCACTAGAGTGAAAGCACCGCCAGCATTCAAAAGTGACCAAAACATCAGCCAGGAAGCATAGGAACTGAGAAGTGGTTTGTGGTCACCACCTGCAGAACCACTTCTTTATTGGGGGTGTCTTGCTAATTGACTATAATTTCCACCTGTTGTCTATTCCATTTGCACAACAGCATGTGAAATGTATTGGCAATCAGTGTTGCTTCCTAAGTGGACAGTTTGATTTCACAGAAGTGTGATTGACTTGGAGTTACATTGTGTTGTTTAAGTGTTCCCTTTATTTTTTTGAGAAGTGTATTGCTGCATGTTATGGGTATGCTTGTCATTGGCAAGGACTAAGACGTTTTTTAGGATAAGAAACCGAATACAGCTATGCACAGGCAAAATCCTAGCGGGAGAAGCTGGTTGTCTGCTTTCCAACAGACACTGGGAGACAAATTCATGTTTTAGCAAGACAGTAACCTAAAACACAAGGACAAATCTACACTGGCGTTCCTTACCAAAATGACATTCAATGTTCCTGAGTGGCCTAGTTACAGTTTTGACTTAAATTGGCTTGAAAATGTATGACAAGACTTAGATGGCTGTCTAGCAATGATCAACTTGATAGAGCTTAAAGAATTTAAAAAAGAATAATGGGCAAATATTGTACAATCCAGGTGTGCAAAGCTCTTTGCGACTTAAATTAAAAGACTCACAGCTGTAATCGCCGGCAAAGGTGCTTCTACAAAGTTTTGACTCGGGTGTGAACACTTATGTAAATGAGATTTCTGTATTTAAAATGTGCACAAATTTATAAAAACATGTTTTCACTTTGTCATTATAGGGTGTTGTGTGTTGATGAGTGAGAATCTATTTAATACATTTTTTATTCAGGCTGTAACACAACAAAATGTGGAATAAGTCATCGGCATGAATACTTTTTGAAGACACTGTACATGTCGCTTGTTTTGCTCTAGGTACCAGTTTAAAAAATGAATGGAAGTATATATGGAAGTAGTTTAGTGCCTAAAAAATGTGTTCGAAGGATACTTCAGGATTTTGGCAATGAGGCCCTTTATCTACTTCCCCAGAGTCGGATGAACTCGTGGATACCATTTTTATGTCAAATTATTCCTTTTAAATATGGGTAAAACAAATAAGTAATCATGATCTTTCTTACATCGCTCAGATATAGTACAGACACTTCAAAACTAACTTCCTTTAAAAAAATGTTTGACTATCTGTTTTTTTGATGTACAAATCTGTTATTCAATGTGTTTCTATGGGCTAATGGCAGTAAGGCCAAATTCAATGTTTCATGAAATATTTTTATTTTATACCTAAAGGGGTCCCTCAGGCGTAGACTTTAGTGCAGGGGTCTCCAACCTTTTCTAGCATGAGAACTACTTTTTTTTTTATATGACATGTCGTGAGCTACTCGTTTTTTTCCTAGCTTTCAAATAGGCACATTCTTCTCCTCTCCCCTGCAACTCTTCCCCGGGTCCTTAGTGCACTATTTTCTCTTGTCCACTGTTTTCTTTTAAAGGGGGCACTATAAAATATGTGATCCCCACGCTTTTTTGTTTTTCACGCTCAAAATTACAATTTTTCAAAGAGAAACAACGAAATTTGATGTTCTGAGTATGTCAATGCTTAACCCTTTGACACGTACCAACAAACAGGTGTGATTGCACAAACACAGTCCTTACAAAGTTATGTCCTGAATGTGACCTGTTTATTTTTGGATGCAATGTTCAGACATTCACAGAAGTAGCGACAGCATAACACAATCATCCAAAACTGAAAATGTAGGCTACATTAGTACTAACGCTAACTGAGGAAAGATTGACATAACACAAGCGGTCATATTTAGCTAACTCTTGGCTGACAGAAACCACAATATGAATTAGATAATCGCAATTACTATTTACAATTCATCACATCACGGGTGAGTTCACAGTTTATCTAAATAATTGAGTAAAACACTTTCTAAATATCGAAAGTAATCCGACGATGGGTAGTTTGTGCGCCGCCATGTTTGTTTTTTCATGTCAACCAAAGATAAGAAGAGACAAGATGAGTTCGGTCTGTTTGCAGTATTGCAAAC